TGCTTACTGGAGTGTGGTTTACCCTGCCAAGGATATTACTGGAATTTAATACAGTATTTGAAAACTTATGTGGTATAATGGAGCCTTTGTTAAGAACTTGGGGTGGGAGGGAGGCAATAGAATTCACAGTTGAGCCTAGTAAACATTTCCGGCTGGGATTATTTATCCAGAGCCAGACTGCCAAGTCTGGCCACTGGAAAAGAAAACTTCCTTTGGCCAACTTGTCACCAAAACAGCTCTTGGTTTTTTAAAATCTGTATGGCCCTCTGTCACTTAATGGAAATGTGCATAGGAGGGCATATGTAAAAGGTGATGCTTGTTGGTTTCTCTGTTAGCATGATGTGGAAAGAACACTGATTTGGAGTCAGGGGACTTGTTTTTGCTGACTGTCACTTCCTTAGCTTCTTGGATAGATAGAGAGTAAAACTAGATGTGGACCTGAGCAACTTAACAATTGAAAGCCTTATTTTGCATGTTGACTCCCTTTATTTTGCATGTTGAATATGAGCTCCTTGTGGCCAGGGATTGTTTTTTGCCTTTCTCTGTCTCCTCAGCACTTAGCCCAGTACCTGATACATAGTAAGCACTTAATAAATGCTTGTAGCTTGCTTGCTTGCTTTGGGACTTTACCCATGTCTGGTTGCTTGTTGACCCATTCACAACCTCTGTGTGAATTGATTGATCAATTGTGAGGGGAGGGAGGAAGAGAAATGAACTATGGGAAGGAGCAGACAGGTGTGGGAGATGGAAAGATACCTGAACAGAAATAGAGATGGAGGGGCAAATTTGATTCTGTGGTGAGGGAAGAGCTTTTATCCATGGAGCTCACTCCAGGGAACCCTTTGGGCCCAGAGATGACAATGATGGACTGAGAGATGAGAAATGGTCAGCCAGCAGAGCAGAGCAGCAAGAAGTGGACCCAGCCTTCCCAACAGAAGAGAATGAATTCCTAAACCCAAACTTCTTGGAAAGAAGTCTGCATCCAGTATTTCTTGCTACTCCAGTACCATTTGGCTGTTGCCATCTCTGTGACCATGTGGTTCCACTCCCATGGGCTAGCATCTAGGCCTAGAGGCACTTCTACTTCTCCACAGGTATCGCTCTTGAGGTGGGTAAACAGACTATCCCGAGGATCCAAGCCCTTCATGATTCAGGTAGGATGCACCAAGGCCGCCATTCTAGGACCAAAGAGCCACCTGAGACCTTCTTCCCTTGGTCTGAGAGAAATAGTTTACTCAATACTTGGAATGAGCCCTTGGATAGAACCGACCTAGTGGGTGTTTGGAGGGTGAGTACTTCAATCATGCCTCACTCTTCTGTAACCGGTCCATCCCTGCCATTCCATCCGTCACTGCCTTCACCATTAGGTAAGACCAAGATTTCATGGGCTACATCCCACATAAATGTTAAATGATGTTCTTCAAAATTCTTTTTTGGTATGTCACTGATAAAAACAGCAAGGTCAGAAGGAGTCTTTTGCCATTTCTCCAATGCACAACTAAATGTGGGTTTTATACATTTAATCAGATGTTCAGAACCTAAAATTCAGAAGCTTTGATGGTTTAGGTTACTATCTAGCATTTCTCGACTAAACTAAGCTGGAGGATTGGGACCTTATCTACTTTTTAAAATTTCACTTCAGTTCCTGTTATAATGCCCTGTATACAGTCGGTACCTATTACACATTTGTTGTTTTGATTTGATCTAGCTCAGGGATGGGGAACCTGTGGCCTCGAGGCCACATGTGGCCCTTTAGGTCCTTAAGTGCAGCTGAAACCAAACTGAAGTGGTGCACTTGAGGACCTAGAGGGCCACATGTGACCTCAAGGCCACAGGTTCCCCAGGTCTGAGCTAATTTATAAGCTAGTGCAGCTGTAGTCATGTTTAGGCTCTGTTGCATGCCTAGTCTTCCATCTCCACTTGAGTTTGAGGTATGGGTCCAGAGAATCAGAATTTTAAAGTTGTAGAGGACCTCTGAGGTCTTCTAGTTCCACCACTACAGGATTGCTGAATAAAAAAATAGGCAAGACAAGTAGCTATCCTATCCTCCTTTGGTAGGACCAGTAGCAGAGAACATTTTTTTTTTTTTTTTTAGTCTTTCTGCGTGAGAGAAAATGCATCCACCATGATTTTTATCTTGGTGTGGGTCCAGGGATTATGAACTCCACTGGAGCAAGAGTATGTTGGCCTGAGCCAGCAAGCACTTCTGCCAGCTTGCCAAGATGCTCTTCAACACAATTTCAAATGGTCAGGAGGAGGGAGGGAGGCCTCCTTTCCCATTTCAGTTGGCCCAATAATCCGGAGAAGAGACTGTTCTATGACCTCTCTATACCAGTCTCTCTACAGCAATCTAATGAGAAAAAAAAAAAAAAAGACCACAGACCTCTCAGTCTAGACTGGGTCAGTGACATTGACCATGGTGACTTAATGCTTCTTTTGGTGGGATTTGCCTTTTAAAACCACAAAACCATTTGCTTATATATAAATAATCATTTCAGTTTCATCAAGTAAATAAAAACATTAGTGAAATGTGAAGGCATCAGCAAAGTTCTGACTTCCATTTTTTTCTGTTACCATCACATTTTAATTTAAGAGTTTAAAAAAGAGCACATGATATTACACTACAATGACAGCTCAACTTTTTAATTAAAAAGTTGAAACATTTACCTTCAGCAACCTGAAGCATGGATTTGGAGTCAATGAGGCATATGAAGTACAGCATGTTTTCCTTAACAGCCATCCAATCTAAATGGATCTGAAGGCATGTGAATTGCTGAGGATAGTTTATTGATTCATTCATTGGGATGTACAACGATAATCAGCCACAGTTAGACCAACTTGGGGAATTTGGCTGGGAGAGATAGTGTGCTCTGAAAAGATACCATGAACAGTGTATATATTTCAAGATTTTTTTTAAGCCTTCCGTGTGGTCATTTTGAGTAACTGCTATAGCAGTACAACTCTATTGCCAGAACACAAAAAAAGAATCAAAACCATTTGAAAACAAAACATTAATTAAGAATTAAGAAATGAAAGAAATGCAAATGACAAAAAATCAAGTGAAAGAGGCCTTCTTTGTATGTGTACTCATATACCATGAGCACAATCTCCTCAACCTTTCCAGATTTGGGGGGTGGGGTGATGGGGAGAGGGAGGGAAGAGAAACAGGTTTGAAACCTCTCAGAATTTATGAACTAATAGGGAAACTCCACCAGCATTTAGTTAGTTGAGGTGACCATACCGTCAATTGGTTCCCCATCTTTCATCAATATGCTCTTGGTGGAGAGCCGGGGGATTTGCTAACCCCCCAGGGAGTACAGTGGAAATTGCCCAAATATCTCAGCTTGACTCTGGAGTCGTCAGGATTCTTCCTGGGTTCCTCTTGATCCTTGCTAGATTTCTCTCTATCTCTGGCAGCTCTGCCTCTCTTACTTCTCTCTCCATCTCTTTGCTCACACCTCTCTCCCCACCTCACCACAATATGTAAAATTGTCCTTCCTTTTCCAAATTCATGCTGCCTGGTATGATTCCTCCATCTCAGCACAAGGCCCTGAATCAGCCTTGGAGGGGCCTTCGGAATCCAATGTTCTGAAACTGCTGCTAATGAACAGCTAGCTGATCCTCTGTCTTGGACAATTTTAGCTGTGCTGGAGAACCTCCACCAAAGAGAGCTAATCTCTATGATACCTGATTTAAGGATAAGAAAAGGAGGCTGCCAGTAGAAAAATTGGGATGGAATACAAACATGAGTAGCATTTTAAAGTGGCAACATGCAATTTTCAACAGAATATTTTGTAGCCATTTTTCTAAACTTAGGGAACCTTCTCCACTTCCCTACTAGATTGCTATTGGAAACACCTTTAACTAGATGAGTCAATTCAGAATCCCATGGACAGATTAACTAGTAGTGACACTTTTACAACAAATACCACTACAACCAAAATATCTGTGTAACAAAAATATTCTGAGACATTCAATCATTTATCTAAAACACTGTTGGAGACAATCAAATGTCACAAAGAGTATCACAAAAAACCTGGGAAAGTCCTTCAATGTTTGCTGTAACGTAGCCTAACAATAGGTTCCCCCCAAATTGAATATTTATTTTAAACTATAAACTGGAATGGCTTCCACTGAGAAGAGAATGAAGTGGAATGGGACGCTTAGGCTGCTTGGATAATGGCATTCAATGCTGGAGTGTGGTCCAGGAACCATAACACTTGCCCTAGGTCACAAGAAATCTTCCTCCCAAGGTTTCTTTCGTGTCTACTCCCCAAGCATTTCTTTATTAATTGGAATCTGGTCCTCCCATGTGCCCTTGTGCACTCTGAATTCAAAATTCTGTGTTTCTATACACAAGGTGCAATTAGTTTCATGGTATTTGCCCAGGTGTGCTCATTCTGAGTCCTAGCAAGGGAAGATGAATCAGTATCCCTTGAAATGGATTTCCTCAATACTTCCTCTACCTTCTGAAAGATGAAATTATCAGCAAGACAAGACAAAAATGTATCAGCACCTCTGCTTTTAGCAGAGAGAGACCTCTAGTATATAACATATAGCATGCGATGTAATTCTAGCACCAGAAAAAAAAAATGGAAGGAGAACTCACAGATTCTCCTCAGAGAGTTGATTTCACTCAGAGAGGTAGGATTTGAACCTAGGTCCAACTAGAACTGGGGTCTTTTCTGCCTTTGCACTATCAGACCAGACTTACAATTGGTAAGAGCCCTACCACTTAATGAGGGCTCAGCATGGTGGCAGCAGCTAAGTTTTTCTTTGAAAAAGTATTGTGTAGGCTATTGTGGAAATCTATTTTTCATGACTTCATATGTATAATGGGTACCATATTTCTTGCCTTTCTGAAGAGAAGGAAGGAGGGAGAGAATTCAGAACTGGAAATAAGAATAAAAAAATATTATGTTGTAAATACAGTATTCTTCAAATAAATTACAAAGCAATCTGAAAGCAAATATATATTTTATTTATTGACTTAGTTTGGGCTCTGTTTCTTTGATCAGCCATCCAGTTTTGAAGAGCAAAATAAGCAGAAACTACTATAAGTTTGGGCCTGCTATATTGGATTACTTTGACTTCTGGATTCTCTAGGACACATAAAAAAGTAAGCATTTGAAAATAAAAAAAATAAAAATAAAAGCCCTGACCTTCCTAACCAACAAACTAGAGGGGCTTTACAAGGCCATGGGTGACAGTGGACACCATGATGAAATTCTTAAGGCTCCTAACTGTCAGTATTTCTCAATGTCCCAGGTGTGTGTGTGTGTGTGTGTGTGTGTGTGTGTGTGTGTGCGTGCGTGTGTGTAGCCAACATTTATAAATGTTCTTTCAGACTTCCTGATAGGTCTGCTCCCACTTTGAGGTTAAATGCGATGGCGGTTATAGAGGTATGGTGGGTAAAGACCATCATAGTGCCATTGACGCCATTGTTCAATCTGTTCCCGGCTGCGCTCTTCTTGTTCTGGAAGGAAGAGAATGAGACATTCTGTCATAATCAGAGCTAGGGGCTCTTTCTGTTTCAGATATGGAGAAACCCTGAAGCCACACCCTCAACACGTTGGGTTATTCTTCCTCGGGGTAACTGGCTAGGAAGGAGTTTAGATGAGATGGGCCAGCACTGATTGGGATCACAGCAGTGGGAACTTTGGATCTCTATGTGGGGCCAGGCATCTGAGAACCATAACAGAACCAAGAGAAAAAGTTAAAGGGCATCACCAAGAAATGGGGTGTTGGTGATCATGTGCATGTTGTGTCTGAGAAGATATGTGAAGTTGCAAAATAAAGAAATTACTTCCCCCCTCTTTCCAATTGTCCCCAATCTGTAAATGACTAACAAACAGTAAAACAAAAGACCCTCCAAGACATGAAATGTGTGATCAACATGACTGTGGCAACAGAGGCAGTTGGAACACGGGCATCATGGCACTGATTCCCTTCATTTGATAAATAAAAAGAAACTGAGCCCTGAAGAGGTTGCATAACTTACTCAGGGTCACATATCTAATAAGTATATGAGATGAAATTTAAACCCAGGTCTTACTGATTCCCAAGTCCAGCACTCTATTTACTACAGACAGTCAGGTGGCACAGTCAGAAAGACCAGAGTTCAAATCCAGCCTTGGACACTTATTAGTTGTGTGACCCTGGGAAAGTCACTTCATCTCTGTTTGCCTCAGTTTCTTCATCTATAAAATGGGGAAAATAATAGCACCTATCTCACGGGGTTGTTATAGGGATCAAATGAGATAATAATTGTAAAGCACTTAGTATATAAAGCACATAGTGCTATATAAAATGCTAGCTAGTATTAATAAATATTAGCTAGCATAAATATTAGTGTTATACCATTCTAGACATGAATAAACGACATGTGATCACTCTTCCTTTGCTTAAAGACCTCCAGTGAGGTTTGCCATTTCCTTCTCCAGCTCATTTTACAGATGAGGAAACTGAGGCAAACAAGGTTAAGTGACTTGCCCAGGATCACACAGCTAGTAAGTGTCTGGGGCAGATTTGAACTCAGGTCTTCCTGACTCCAAACTACTGTTTGAGATAGCTCGTATCAATTTTATATAGATATAGTTACTAGTAATTTTCCCTTTTACATCAAGTCTAAATCTGCTGTTCCAAAACTTCCACCCATTTACTCCTAGATCTGCCTTCAGGAGTCAAAGAGAAAAAAAAAATCCCTTTTTTATATGCCAGCCCTTCAGCTAGCTACTTAAAGACTGCTACCATGTTTTCTTCTAAATCTTCTTCTATCCAGGTTAGACATACCAGGTTCTCTTTAAGAATCATACTGCAATGTACAATTAATACAGCAGATAGAGCTCTGAGTCAGGAAAACCTGAGTTCAAATCCAGCCTCAGACTCCTACTAGCTCTGTGGCCCTGGGCAAGTCCTTTAACCTCTGAGTGCCTCAGTTTCTTTTTCTGTGAAATGGGGATAATAGAAAGTACCTCTTAGAGTTATGATGAGCATCAAACGAGATAATACTTGAAAAGTGCCTTGCAAGCCTTAAATGCTGTTTCTACTGATCTCTTAAGAATGGAACTTGAAACCTCTCAATATCCTGATTGCCCTCTTCTCTCACTCTTCCATTTGGGAATGTTTTTCTAAAACTAAACACAATACTTCAGAAGAGGTCTGAGTCCAGGGCAGAGTACATACAACGTAATTATTGATTCCTTGGTCTTGGTCACTGTGCCGCACAGTGTAGCCTAAAACTCCATGAGGTTTTCACTGAGTGATTACATTCCACCTTCCACATCTTGAGAAGTTTTTGAACCAAGGGGAGCTAGATGTTGAAGTGGATAGAGTGCTACATCTGGAGTCAGGAAGATCTAAGTTCAAATCTGCCCCAGACACTTACTAGCTGTGTGATACTGGGCAAGTCACTTAACCTTGTTTGCCTCAGTTCCCTCATCTGTAAAATGAGCTGGAGAAAGAAATGGAAAACCACTCCAGTATCTTTGCCAAGAAAACCCCCAAAAGGGGTCATGAAGAGTTGGACACTACTGAAAACGACAAAACAACGACAGCAAGAATGAATGTTTATAGTACTATGACAGGACCCACTAAACTGTAGTTCTGGGTTTGTGGTTTCAGTGACCATGATGCGTCATAAAACAGCACAGTATAAGTGAGGATATGTTTGCTACTTAGATTTCTAAGAACCATCCATTCATTTTTGTAAATGCCATTTTCCTTTACAAATGGCAACAAATGGTCATCACTAGCTAGAAAATGTATGTGTACATATACCCATTTGTAGTTGCCTGCTATCCCATCTAATAAATATAATATCCCAGTATATGAAACACTAATAAAAGCCCCTGAATGAATGTTAACCTAATTATGGTGCCCATATGCCCATAGCATATTTTAGAGTCTAGAGATGAACTTAAGTTAGTTGAGTTAAATCAGAAATTCAGGCCATGAGCAAAATTTGACCTCTATTATTTGTATAAAGCCATGACCACCTGGGCAGGGGAGAGTATCTCAGAATCTAATCAAAGCCCCCTATCTCTGTGAAGACAAGCCCAAATTCAGTCATGGGAGTCAGTCAGACTCTCTCTATGCTTCCTTTTCTCCCTTCTTCACCTCCTCAACCAATTACAATGCTCAGTTGTCCTGAAGCATAGCTCTAGCTCAGACAACCGCAACCCACCAGGCCTCCTCACCAATCACTGTTCAGTGAACCAAAGGAAGTGAAGGTGCCCAACATGTCAGAGATGGGATTTTCTTGTACAAAAAGGAAAGCTGGTAAGTGAACTTTGCAAGGTGTTACTTCCCTAGACAGTCTTGGAGATTGGTAACACACCTCCACCCTTCTGTCCCACCCCTCAACCATCTCCAACCTTCCTAAAGCCACCCTCAGTAGTCCCATCCTCAGTCATGACCCAATTTGTTATGAAAGAAAAAATCATGACTTTTTCTTGGTGCAGTTGTCTTAGATATTTTGTTGTTGAGTCATTTTTCAGTAGTGTCCGACTCTCTATGACTTCATTTGGGTTTGTCTTGGTAAAGGTACTGGTGTGGTTTACCATTTCCTTCTCCAGATCATTTTTACAGATGAGGAAACTGAGGCAAACAGGGTTAAGTGACTTACCCAGGGTCATACAGCTAGTAGTATCTGAGGACGGATTTGAACTCAGGAAGATGAGTCTTCCTAACTCCTGACCTGGCATTCTATCCACTGTGCCACCTGGCTGCCCCTTTCTTTAAGCAGTAATATTAACAATAACAATGTCAAAATAACATCAGAGCTCATTTTTACATGTTGTAGCTGGGAAGAGGGTGGACTAGAGGACCGCTTACCTTCTAACTCTGCAATTCTATAAATCCTTGATTTTTTTTTTTTAAACAACAGACTGATTCACTAAGTTGCAAGTGAAAGGGGTGAAACTCCAGGAAATTTGTATTTTCTGGTTAGTACTTTGGTCTAAGTTTCCTAAATGTATTCCCAGAGAGCTTTGTATTTTTGATGAGTAAAGTCAATTCCCCTGTTATGTCACTTGGATGATAGCCACTCAGCAAGACAGTAATCATGTACCTGGGGCTGCCTTCTCACCTCTGGAGAGCTTGGATGGCTGAAGGCTTTCTAGGATCTTTGATCATTTATTATTGTGTTCTTTTTACACAAGTTTTCTGGTTAAGAGTACACTTCACAGTGTACTTAAGCCCAGAACAAACATGTAGAGAAGCCAGTGACCTCAGGACTACATGACTGGCTGGTTGCCCTCGAGAATATTTCACTGCCTCTTAGCAGTTCACTGCAATTAGTCCAAGCCTGCCCCAACATGAATAGATTAAGATGGAGGCAATAAGGATCAGAGGAAGGGGGTCTACATAAAAGAGCTCTCCTTTCAGTGGCAGGCTTCTTAAAATTTTTATTTAATTTTTAATTTATGGAATAAAACAAGCATTTCCATAACAGCATAATTTTTTTAAAAAGATGATTGTACACGAAACTGCAAACTTTATGTACAACTTGCTATTCCTTTTAAATATATAATAAAATATCATGTAAATTTTCTTTTTTTCTTTTTTTCTTTCTTCTCCTCCCCACCCTAGAGATGGCTACCATCAGACACAAATAGGTATATATGTAAAATTATTCTTTACATACTTCTATTCATCATTTCTTTTTCTGAATACAGATAGCATCTTTCCTCATATGTCCTTTATGGTTAATTTGGGTATTTAAAATAGTTAAAATGACTTATTTGCTCAAAGTCTTTCTTCAAACAGTGCTGCTGTTACTGTATACAATGTTCTCTTGGTTCTGCTCATTTCACTCTTCATTATTTTGTGCAAGTCTTTTCATGTAAAAGCCTTTTAAAGGATACACCATCTGTCTTTTATTCCTTCCCTATTGTGAGATGTATGGATGTTGCTTCTGCATATTACTCAATCACAGGTTGGAGTCAGAGAAATAGTTTTTATTATTATTATTATTATTATTATTTCCACAAAAAGGCAAGTAGAAACCTGAAGGAATGCAGTCTGGGGGCTAGGTGGAAGTTGAACAAAAGGGAGTTATATTAGAATATAAAACACTCAATGGTGAATAGACTAACCAGCACAAAACCAGTTCTGAGGTTAACATAAAAAGGGGTGTTCCCAAGTAAGGATCCAGTGGTCGAATTGTGGGGAGTGGGAGATGTAATTAGGAGCAGAGACTCACATGAGGAAATTAGGCGCTTTGGATAGGCTGTAACCTCTATAGCACCCAACAAAAGGGGGAAACAGGGGAAGGAAATTTGAATGGGGAATAGAGAATAAAAAGGTATGCTTTTGTCAATACGTGTGTTCTCACATGTGTACTCACACATGCGGGACACCCAGCCTTTCCAGGTCATTAATAAAGCTTCTTCCTGATTCAACAATGACTTCATGGAATTTGTGATAATCGTGTAGATAACACCTAGCCAGCACATAAAACAAGGGATGGAAATG